CACTGTTGCTGTGCGGGTGGCATCCGGCTGAGCACGGGCGGCAAGGTGACCGAGCCTGGGCATTTGTTACAGTCTGTCAGGATTGCGGTTAAGTCACCCGATCGTGCTGTTGGCACCGCTCCTCGTCGGTAGGCTATTGTTGCGGTGAGTGGGTGACTACTGCTGTGTTCTCGCAGATTGCTGCTGTAGGTGGACTGATGTTGGGCACCACAAAACAGAGGCTGGATGGGCTACTGTGCCTTCTGGAGGGTTGTAGAGCGACGGTTTTGCGGACTACTAACTGATACCTTCTCGCTGCACAATCGGTGTATTTCGGATCATAGACTGTTGACTATTGGTGAGTTCTCTGGCCAAGAGACTGTGGTAGCAGGCCACTTAGTTACCTTGAAAGGCTGCTGGACCATCTGCTGGTGCGGTGGCCGTCGTGCGTCTAAGGTGCTGATTGCTGATGATTGCCCAAGGTTGTTGCGGATTACTGCGAACTGCAACATACTACACGTGCCACGGTGGCATTGCCATCTAGGCACAGGCAAGAGCTACGATTATTGACGGTGGGAACCTGCTGCGGTATACGAGGCTCGAGCTGCTTGGTCCCTGGATGTGGATTGCTTAAAGCTTTGCTACAAGCTAGGGGACACTGCCGCTACTGCGGACTGAGCACGAGTTACCGTTGCCTATTGCACATGGACGCGGACTACCACTGCAGGCAGTCGACTACTGATTGACCGTTGCTGGCTGTTGCGGCGCGCTGCGGCGTACTGTTGCGAACTAGGACCGCTGCTGCTGACAGCTGTTGCGGTTGCTGGTAATCGCCATCTGAAGCTGCGCATATGGACTGTTGAAGGCTAGTGTGCGGTCGTGATCAGGTTAGGGAGGGGTGCTGGGACTCAAACGAGGGATTGAGCTTAGGAAGGGGGAGTGGTGCTGAGGTCGACGGAGGGCAGTCAGGGGGCTGTTGAGACTACATTCGACCAAGGGTTGATTGTTTGCTGCTGCGATTTTCTTGGCCACAATTGCGGGGCCCTCAGGAGATTCAAGACTTCAAGGCCCTCTCATTGTGAGTTGAGTGCACCGCCCTTGGATCTCGAGAGTCTAGCTTTTCTACTTCTACCCTTCTTAATCTCAGTCTGGTCTATGTTACGAGAGGAAGGCGGCAGGCAGGATTGCAACCCGTAGGTCCGCACCAAGGCCTTTGTGGTGGGTTTCCCCACCGATTGCGGGAGCTCTGCCGGAACCCAGGCGGGGTTCTGGAGGCAGGGAACTTAAGGTATATCCTCATCTGACGTATGTGATCCCTGCCCCTATTTCTTATCCTTGGGTATCTGAGTATGTACATGTAAGGATACTACTTTTGTTTTGTTATGTATGCCAGGAAATGTTTTCCAGGAGGCTAAATGAACAAGTACGTATGAGGGGTCAGATAGTTCTTGAGTGAGGTCGAGCAGAATGAACTTGGGGAAGGTGGGATGAAGTTGTATTGCTTGCTTTGACCGGGTCAACCCAAGGCTGAACTCCCCTAAGTTGGTGTGGGCTTAGTGTTGTGTTTTATTCATGTTTGTTGGGCTACTTGTATGGGTTTGAGGGCTGGGCCTATCCTAAGTTGGACGGACCAGTCGCTGTTTTTTTCTAGGGTTTCTGAACTAGAGGATGAACACCCTAAGTTGGGAGGTCTCAGAATTCTGGTGTTTCTTTTGTGGGTGGCTGAAAACAGAGCAAGGAACACTCTAGGTTGCGTGAACTCAGTTCTGTGTGTGTTTTTTTCTGAGCGGAACACAGGCATGAGGCTGAGCGTACCCTTAAGTTAGGGCGGCTTAGTCATAAGCCATGAACATTAAGGTTAATCAAAGTATAGAATTTGGATATATACTATATGAATTTATACTGTGGCAGACCGGGCACCCTAAGTTGGGAAAACCAGTCAGTAAGTCAGATATAACAAGAAGAGAAGAAAAGTGATGAAGAATATAACGAAGGTAACCTGGGCAGGCTGAGCGTACCCTTAAGTTAGGGCGGCTCGGTCCTATGCTCGTAATAAGACAAAGGATCAGCGAGTTAGTATAAATTTGTTTTATTTTCCCTTCTAAACACAAAGCAGGGCTGGATGTCTCCCTGAGTTGGGTATGTCTGATCCTCTGCATAATAAGAAAGAAACACATATAGTATGTGCATGTATCAATGGTTGTTTTTATATGATTGTCGTTACAGAGCCTAAGCGTGCCCTTAAGTTAGGGCGGCTTAGTCGCACGTCGTTGTACTTGTTCAGACAATTCATGTCTTATGTAACTATAATTGTCTAGGCCAGCTAGGCATACCCTTAAGTTAGGGCGGCCTGGTGATAGGCTCTTGTCGTTGATGTGATGTAGGTTGGACGTACCYTTAAGTTAGGGTGGTCTGACCATTCGTCGTTCGTACTTGTCTGTAGGTTAGACGTACCCTTAAGTTAGGGCGGTCTGACCATTCGTCGTTCGTGCTTGTTCTAGGCAGGTTAGGCACACCCCTAAGTGGGGGCAGCCTAATCCTGTGCCCTATCTGACTTTGTGTAAAGTTGGCTAGACATACCCTTAAGTTAGGGCAGTTTAGTCTTATGCTACATGTCATCAATTCAAACAGAAGTCAGACGTACCCTTAAGTTAGGGCGGTCTGTTCATATGTTTTATGACTAGAGTCTATCTGGAGTTGGGCATACCCTTAAGTTAGGGTAGTCCAGTTGTGCGTACTCCTACTTGTTAACTTGGGCAGGTTGGACATACCCTTAAGTTAGGGCCTTGTCCGATCCTATGCCATAAGTGAGGGGGCCTACAAAGGGAAGAACCGAAAGACCTACTGAACTACTTGGACGAATTGATGTGAGACTGTGAGAGATGCATGTGTATGTATGCTCGTGGGCTCGCACTTGGGGTGTCTTTTCGATAGGCCAGTTGCTTTAGATGCTCGCCAAGTGCTGGAGGCATAGGTAGGTCAGATGGATGATGGGAGGGAAAACTTAGGATGAGGATGGGACTGACCCTGCTAGGAGTTAGGCCCAATGCTAGTCCACATTCTCATCTAGAGATCGTATTGGCTGTCATTTCAGTCTGAATTGTCAAGCAGATGTCAGACGTTAGTCCCAAGTATAGTTGCATTATCTTCCCTTTTTTTCAGCTTTGTATAAATCTTGGCGGCCTTCTTTCCCTACGGGAAGCGCTGCCGAAATTCTTACAAACCTGAAAAAGTTAGTCATTTGTGGGCTCTTAGAAATTCTGAAAAGACACTTTTCTTACGGGAAGCGCTGCCGAAATTTCGTGAAATTTGGGGAGTTAGAATATTTTCCAGTTAGGAGTTACTTAGCATATCCTAACTGATTAGAGGAGGTGTTCAACTAATTGGTAGTAATAGAGGAGCTAGAGTACGACTAAGGTGAATGATCTCCCCTTGGCACAGACGTAAGCAGTACTCTTCGTTGGTCTGTACTGTGATGCAGGTTGATGTGCTATCACTTGAGAGCCTGATCTGATCAGGCTATTCCTTCAGAGAGATTATTCCACTGTTATCACTGATAACAGGTCGGTTATCGATTCGTCGGTCTACGAATCAACCCCTATGCACCCTTAATACTCAGCCCAAAGAGGCTTTAGCCCTGGTGATTTTATCTGTTTTGTTAGGGTTTCACCCAGACTTTTATTGAATGGCCATTTAACAGAAGTACTGAGTACTTAATTATGGTTGGTTGGCTAGAGGTTGGGGCTCGCATGGCTAAAGCACAGGGTATGAGTGGAGAGGTTGATTGGAGTTGACCCCGTGTAGTGCTTGGATCTTTGTTTGATACTTTGATGTGATTGCAGATATGTATGGAAGAGTCTCGATTGATGCATGGTGAGTGGTATTGCGTGGACTCAGATGGGCAAACCACATAACTGTCGTGAGAGTGAACTACCCCACAACCTTTGTGTTTGAGTAAGAGTGTTCTATCCTTGTTCTGCTGAGGTGATGAGCTAGGTAGGCGTGCGTTCGGGTAACCCCTACAGGGCGAATCCCGATGACGTCCTCTCTAATAATATTGAGAGTATTTGTATTCTTTCCTTGTTAGGGTTTATTTCGGTAGAACAATAAAGTTCCGGGCGGAAGGGTTAGCGTGTCGCTGGTGATGCGTCAGACAACTCACCACCGCTCTAAATTCGTCCCTGACCTAGGGGCCGTCTTACCCCGCACCTTTTGGGGCAACCCTCGAAGTTATCAAGGACCGCGAGGCTACGAGTACACCAGAGTACCCCATCAGCGCGAATGCTTGCGAATGCCCGCATGGCTGGTTGTCATGAGGAGGCCGTGCGCTCGCTCAACTCTTATACGGAAACCCAGCGCGCGATGCCTATCTGGTCCTATTGCGTAAAAGTATGGGTCAGATACTGAAGTGACTAGGAGTTGTGGTTTTGTGGTGTTGTGGCGTTGTTTGTGGCGGCCGTTGTGTGTGTGTTTTTGTATGTTATGAGTGGGTAAGTATGAGTATCGTGGTGTAGCGCGTGGTGAGAGTAGTGCGTCCTTGTCGCTGAGTCGCGTTTGGGATTTCAGCCCCCCAGTATGGCGATACGCGTACGGGTTCGATCTTTGGGCGTTCGATCGCGCGTAACCCTTTATGCTACAGCGAACGAGAAACGCCCTTGGCTGGGCCATCTCTGCAATTGCATACGAAAAATTTGGCATGTGGTTTAGTAGCTCGGCAGGGATACGCCCACCTAAGGGATGGTGACAGCTCCCGTAGGTGGAGGTAGCGGTGCCTCGCGTGACTCTGTCCTGTCGTAGGGACTCTTGTGGGACCGTGCACTCGACAGGTGGCGCCGTTGCCGGGATCTCGGCTGCCTACCGAGGTCCTTAAGAGAAAGAACCCAGATTAAGTGCAGGCTGATGATCTAAGCAAAACGACAAAAAGTTACGTCATAATAAGACTGAGTGATATGGTATGCGATTAAAGGTTATATAAAGGACGCGAATGATTAATGGTGGAGCGAGTAGCTAAACTTAAGGGTGGAATGGTCAAGAAGGACATAGGGCAGACCCTCTAAACTTGACGAACTGCTTACCGATCTATCCCTTGTTACTCCTGTCAGGTTGGTTAACAAAAAGAGGTGAAGATGCCGGACGCTGATGAAATCGAGCGTGGCCCGGCCGCTACGCCAGAGGATTTCGTCAAGGCACTCGAGAAAAGGGAGTTGGCACGACTTCAAGTGTCGAAAGTTAACATCTTCTATTTTAATGGGGACAGAGTATCCGAGTGGCTGGAGCTGCTGGAGCAGGTTACGGCCGAGGTGCCTAAGGCAGATAAATTCAAGTTCCTCCCCAGGTACGTCTTGTGGGAAACTCGGCCCGAGGTAATGAAGGTGGCTGCTGGAGCAGGAGGAGACTGGGCTAAGTTCAAGGCAGAAATGCAGAGGCGGTTCAAGTTAGGGGATGACTTGTTAACGAAGACAGATTTGGAGATGTTACAGCAGGACGAGTTCTCGACGGTGGGAGCTTTGACAACGACGCTCCCAACGACATTTGAGAAGATGGCCAAGAAAGTCCCTAGATTGGCGGAAGAAGAACAATGTGCCACTTTCCTGGGGCACTTTAAGAATTGGGAGGCCTCGTCGCTAACCAAGAAGGCTGAGCCAAGAAAAAAGCTCACTTGGGCCTCCATAAAAGAGGGCGTAATAGAAGGAGAGCTGGACCAAGTAGACATCTTCCAAATGCGACAGGCTAGGAAGAAAAGAAAGCCCTTGGACGCCACGACGAGCGGCGGACGAGACTTTAAGAAACTGATAGAAGATGCAGTGGCCCAACTCGGTGCAGAGAAGGAGGCGAAAAGAAAAACTATGACGGCACCATAGACCCAATGTAAAGCAAAGAAAGCGGTGGTGCAGGAGGAAGAAGAAGAGGAAGAGGAAGAGGAGCCGGAGCCACAGAAGTTGACAAAAGCTCAAAGGAGAGCAAGGAATCTGACTCAAGGGGGGCAAGGCTCAGGGAAGGGCCAGGTCCCACAAGCGGTAGCCATGCCGCCCCATGAGTCACCCAGTCAGGCTGCACCATCACACTGTGGGCCATGGCCAGGTTGCGGACCCTCAAGTCATTGGCATGGGCACTGTTCATACGCCCCATGGCCAATGAGTGGGCCGCATGGGTCATATGCCGGACCACCGATGAGCACGGCTTCCTACGGCTGCCCGGGACCCCAAGCTTAGCAGGTGAGCCACCCAAACCCACCGCCTAACCAACCTCAGCAGTCAGCCCCACAAGGATCGCAAGGCAACCGAGGTGGTGGACGTGGTCAGAATCAAGGATGGGGCCGAGGGCGAGGGAATGGTGGCCGAGGAGGAAACAACAGGGGTAATGGTGGTGGTAACTCTGCAGGCCGGGGAAACGAGGGTTGGACGGCATCTGAGAGTCAAGGCGGTCAAGAGGGTGGAGGAGGTGCCGGCAGAGGGAGAGTAGACTGGAGAAATGCCATTTGCTGGCATTGTGGGCAGAAAGGCCACACTATTAAGTTCTGCCACGTCAGGAGGAACGATGAGGACGAAGGTTTAATTAGCACCAACTATGATGGAGATATGTACGACAAGTGGGGGTACCACCTTGACCCGAAGATTCCAGGCGGTACGAGGAAGGAAGCCCTGCGGAGGGCTGAGGCCGGTGAGCCACCCGCACCCCCAGCCATGTTTCGGATATGGAAGGAGAAAGAGGTCCGTAGTGACGTCACGGTGGAGGAGGTAGGAGAGAACGCAGAGGTGGAGCAAGAAAGGAAGGCCGACACTACTAAGACAGAACCGATCATAGTAAAGTCCGACGATGAGATTGAGGAAGATTGCTGGAACAGGCCGCTGCGTGCTGAGACAGGGGAAGATTGTTGGAGGACGGTCCGACAGACGATGGAAAGAATGGAAGACTTAATAGCTAAAGTCGGGAGGTACCAACAAAAGTTGGCCGATATGTGTGATGAGGTCAGGGAATGGAAAGGTAAGGAGCCATTAGTATACCTCTACGATCTTGGTCCAGGGTCGCAGGGAGGATCTGGCAACTTACCAAATGTCACGACTTCGGGCCCGGTGCCAAGGTCCGGAATGACTTATAGACCACCCTCCAGGACGGGGAGGGCACCGCACGCTGTCAGGACGAGGGCTAAAGGGCCGGTGAGCCCTGAAGAACCGGCCAAGGATGTTCCTGAACCCAGCGGAGAGAAAGAGGTAGTGGACGTTCCAGAAGGAGAGGATGATGAAGATGATAGGTTGAGGAAGGAAGAGGATGAGAGGGCCGAGCAAAGAGCCAAGAAGAGGGGTGCCAGCCCTGATACAGACAAGGCACAAGAAGTAAAGAAGAAGAAGTACGTTGTCCGAGTGGAAGAAGGCTTCGATGTGGAAGAGATAATGAACAGAAACCTAGAGGGTCATAATCATCTTATGAACCTGAAGGACGTATTAGCCTCAGCGTCTAGGCTCAGGGATGAGCTAAAGGCGCGACTATCCAGGAAGATGGTGGCCAGTGTGCGACTAGGGACTATAGTCCCTAAGGAGGCTGAGTGGGCTGAAACAGGTACTAAGATAGACTGAAAATCTGTCGCCTGTGGCAACCTCGACGTTGTGGTGAAAGGGAAGACATGCACTGTGATGGTGGATAGTGGAGCGGAAATGAACCTCATAAAGGAGGAACATGCCATACAGCTGGGAATGGAAATAGACCGCTCCGACAATGGGGTTCTCATGGGGGCCAATAGCCGATCGATATTCATTGGGACCGCGTCGTCAGTGATATTAGAAATTGGAAAGGTGAAAGTAAGGAGCTGCTTCTTTGTGATGCCTGACTTGGACCACCCTATTCTACTTGGGAGATCCTTCCTAAGTCGGACAGAGACGGTCATCCTCAACAAACACGATGAAACTATGTTGCTCGTTCTGTGTGACCCCGTATGCGGGAATTACGAGGTCATCACTTGCAAGAACAGAGGACCCAAGAGCGTAAGGAACCGGCCCAACCCTGGTTCGTTCACGATTGAAGAGTCAGAAGAAGAAAGGCTAAGGATCGAAGCCAGCCAGTATGAGGAGAGAAGAGAGCCAGAGGCGCCGACTCTAAGCTTGGCGAACATAGGCGATGATATGGACATAGTATCAACCTATGGGGCGGCGGACCCCGAGGCTGTGGAGGCCTTGAGAGAGAAGACAGTGGAGCAAATGGGTGCAGGAAAGATGAAATTGGTATATCGAACACCTTGTCAGACAGGCGGAGAGAGTGGAGTGCAACCCCATAGCGCAACTCGGTCTTTTTTAGGGGTGGGCTCAAGCAGGGCGCCCAAAGGCGGTACAAAAGGGTAGACCAAAAGTGCCGCCCCGTTCCCGTACACGTTACTGAAGAACAGGAAGTATACTACGAGTGGGAGCGAGAGTTGATATGGCAGAAGCGAGAAAGGGCGGAAAGTGGACCATAAAGTATCAATGCCGAGACAGAGTAGGCGCTGATCATAGGGGAGCTTGACTTTCTTACGGCGCAGGAGGAGAAACTTGTAGTGGACACCATAAGAGGAAGGCATGTTGCATATGCCTTCAGTGATGATGAGAGAGGTCGACTGGACGTGGATATTATCCCAATGATTAGGATACATACCGTACCCCACAAACCATGGAACTTGCGAGGTGCGCGGTATCCTAACCCCGCTGACGAAGAGAAGGTGGTCAACTACCTTGATGGGAAGATCCACACTCATGTGGCACATTACTCGAACGGTCCGTATGCGTCCCCATGGTTTTGTTTTGTCAAACCCAATGGGACACTGAGGTGGGTACAGGATTTTCAATGCCTGAATGCTGTGACGGTGAGGGACGCAGGTGGTGTCCCCAACGCTGATGTGTTTTCGGAGGCATGCGCTGGGAGGGTCATCATATCCCTCATTGACTTGTATTCAAACTACGATCAGCTCCTTGTATACCCGTCGGACCGGCCTATGACAGCCATGCATACCCCTCGCGGGTTGATCCACATGAACGTCGCACCGCAGTGGTGGACTTCTTCGGTCGCTATGGTCCAGCGACACATGGTAAGGGCGATGCAACCCATAAGTCCTCACATCAAACAACCCTACATTGATGATCTGGTCGTGAAAGGGCCCAAAGAAAAGGATGAGCAGGAAGTGATGCCAGGAATCAAGCGCTTTGTGTGGGATCATGTGCAAGACTTGTGCAAGGTCCTGGATCTCTTGAAGGAGCATAACCTCACTGCCAGTGGGCCAAAATCGAGGCACTGCATGAGTGGTGCCACTATCTTAGGATTTGTGTGCGACGAGAGGGGTCGTCGGCCAGATACTAAGAAGACTAACAAGATTATCGAATGGCCAATACCGTTCCAGACTATCACGGAGGTGAGAAGTTTTCTGGGCACGTGTGGGTTTTGGAGGGTCTTTATTAAGGGGTTTGCGGCAAAGACGGAGCAATTATGAAAGCTCGTGCGTCAAGGACAAGACTGGGAATGGGGAGACAGACAAGAGTCGGTGATAAAAGACCTGAAGAAGGAGTTTGAGGAAGGAGGTCTAGTACTGGGGGTACCGGACCATGAGGCGTTGATGACCAGGCCGTTCATCGTAGAGACAGACGCAGGGCCAACTGCGCTGGGAGGTGTGTTAATCCATTGAGATCCCAATGGGGAGGAACGACCACTAAGGTTTGAAAGTCGGACGCTTAATATGTCTGAAAGGAACTACTCTCAGTTCAAGCGCGAAACCTTGGTGGTTCTTCACTGTTTGAGGATCTTCAGAAACTACCTCTTTGGCAATAGGTTCGTATTGAGGGTGGACGCTACGGCTCAAGCTGGTTCTCTCAAGAACTTCGCTCCGTCAGATCCAACTATCGCCAGATGGCTGACGTACATCTGGATGTTTGACTTCGAGTTGGAGCGAATTCCTGAGACCAAGAATAGGGCGGACGGGCTGACCCAAGTCGATTGGGACAAAAACCATCAAGGAGTGATCGAGGATACTCCACCGGTTGACGGGTTCCTGGACAGCGAGGAGGATGTAAGACTTCACATCAACTCCTGGGCATTGGCCGTAGGTAAGTATGTTACTCCTGGGCGGCCCGTATGGCTTGCGCCTCCAGGACATGTGCGACGACCAGACTTGGTCCTCAAACCTTATATTGAAGAGGATTCTTGGGGAATGTCGGGCGTAGGTTGGATGATGGAGCTGGCCTTAGCAGGCAAATACGTGCTGCAGGAAAACCCGCTTACAATTGAAAATGGGGCGCTATAGGTGGGTAAGCACGAGAAGATGATAGGTGGGGTGTACCTGCTGGCAAATGCGCTACTTCAGGAAGAGACGGTCATAAATACGGTACTAGACCAGGAAGAGGAGATAGAGCTGGGAGGAGGTGATAATGTGATTCATGAGAGAGAAGATGACTTCGAAGGGGGGGAGATCAAGGAAGCGTTTCGAGCAAAGGAGTATGAGGGAGTATACCTTGAACTCAGCATGCTTCTTTCGTGCGAGATGAGGGAAAGGGATGCCTGCGCGAGAGTTCTGAAAATGAGGCCAAACTTTCTGGTAAGGGATGACCATCTGTTCATGAGGAGCAAAGGAAGGGATCCCAGGAGAGTAGTCTGCGGCGTCGCTCGCCTGATTGACATTATAGCGGCACTCCACGATGCACGTCTGACTCCATATCTGGCATAGGGTGATCCACCTTCCTCTGAATAGGCTCTGGAGGTGCGCCTGGACCCCCTACTCCCTCACTCTCCTCTTGCTTGTGAGACTTGTGTTCCCTCACCTTTTCCTCCCTCTGAGCCCCTGGTGACGCGCCCTGCTCAAAGGTTCCCCTTGCCTCTGTCCCAGATTCCGTTCTTCTTTTTTCCACACCTCTCCTCTCACCTGCCTGACGAGCTGGAGTATAATAGTTCCATAGTAGCTTCTTGCAGTGCCCCCAGTTCATGGCAGATGCCACAATGGATCGTACGAAGGGTCTGATATGGTGTCTCACAAACAACAGGAAACTCCCCACTCTCTGCTCTCCTGGGATACCAAGCTCGTCTGCATATCGGTCATAGGCCCACAAAAACTCCCCCAAGTTGGTGGAGTCGAACCGAATGGGTTGTCCATCCCTTCCCAATGGTGACGGATGCAAACCCTCCATCCTCCGTCCAAAGTCTTGCCAACTCAGCGACTCTCTGACCATCTTAGCAATAGGGTCCGCCCACTCGCCTACACCTCGTACCTCTTTCAACATTCTGGTACTGTCCCATCCAAACTCTCTCGCATGCTGCTCCAACTCCATCAGAAACAACTCGATGTTCCCTCCCTGGAAGACTGGAGGCTTGTCCTCTCTCCTGGTCCTTATCCGCGTCCTCTGTCTGGTTGCCCCAAAAGGGGTCCCCACTGACTCTGCTTCTCCCCTCCCTCTTGGCATGGCTGCCCCAAGCGGTATCAAGCCTGCATAACAGGGAAGAGGCGAACAGAAGCACACAGAGGGTAAGCGATGTCAGATAAAACACAACAGGAGAAAGACATAACCCTCCCACAACTATCTCAATTACCTACCTACCCACACATATGCATACATACCCATACGCACACACAAGTCTAGTCATAACCTATCATACTATCCTACTGAGAGCAGTATCCGAAGTAATCACGAGATGACTCTAAATGGTGAGACCCCTGCTCACCTCGTCTCGAGCCACAAACTTCTTTAGCCTCGAGCCTGACACCCAGTCCTTCCATGCCGTCCCATTCAACTCTTCGATTTGGTAGGCACCATGTTCACCACATCTGGTGACCCTGTAAGGCCCCAACCACCTCTTATCCAACTTTCGCGACCACTGCTTTTCCAGGGACGCGTCATACAACAACACAACGTCTCCCACCTTGAGAGGCTCCTTTCTTACTCTCGCTATCTTGTCCCACCGGAACTTGTCCTTGGTACGGCTGTCCGCGGTTCTACTTGCTGCCTCCTCAATCTTGTCCTCAATAGCGCCGATCTGTCGTGCCCTTAAATCCAGTAGTTCCTCAAACGTCAGATCAGTCTCGAGGTCCCGTCGCCTCCAGGTTTTCAGGAAGCTTTCAATGGGAAACGTCCCATGCCTGCCGTACCATAGCGTAGCCGGTGCATAGTCCGTGCTCCTCCTGATAGTGATGTTATCCACAAAAAACGTGACCCTTAGAAAGTTTGGCCATTGGTTGGGCCTGCCATCGGTCCAATTGACAAGAAGATTTGTGATGGTGCTATGCCCCCTCTCCACAGGTGCGTTGGCTTGAGGGTGCGCTGCAGTAGTGTACTCAGCGATTACCCCATACTTCTTCAAAAGAGCCTTCACTTCTGCACATGTGAACTCGGACCCTCTATCCATCACGAATCTGGACACAAAGGGGTAGCGAAGATAGTACTCTTCGATGCATCGGACCAATGTCTCTTTAGTCTTCGTGCGAATGGCCCTGCCATCCACAAACCCCGAGAGGTTGTCCCATGCATCAAAGATGAAATTGTAGCTCCCTATCCCCAACGACATTGCCAATAGATCCAAGTGCATGACTGCTCCAACCTCACGAACGTACGTTGGGTGCAGCGGCTCCCTGGGTCCGAGAGCAGACCGTTTTCGGCATGGCACGCAAGACTTACAGTAATCGTCGATCATCTGCCCCATGCCATCCCAATAGTACATCTCGTGGATTTTCAGATATGTCGTATCTGCACCTCTGTGGCCACCTGCTCAGGGGCCGCAAGTGCAGGAACAGAGAGTGGAACCGTCTGCTGATGAAAAGGAGCTGGACAAAAAAGAGAGGGCAGCAAGGGAGCTGGAGATCAGGACTCAGCTCCGAATGAAGAACCTTGCAGAGTTGCATGAGAAGATGCAGCAAGGAAAGGCGCCTGAAGAGGTAGAGGACAAAAAAGGAAAGGGTACCTGCACTCAGGAGGAGGACCCTCCTCTGTTCTCAGAGGTCTGGATGGGGTTCGACAAGCTATTGGATGTCGCAGGGAGGTCAGAAGGTCAACATCAGGAGATGGGGGTTAAGTTGGTCTCTACAGACCTGCTCAACCTTAAGAGCGTGGTGAGAGAAGGCTTCGCCGCAGCAAGGACCTCAGATCAGAAGATTGGGGACAGGCTGACAAAGGTGGCACAAGAGGCTTATGGCCAGAGGGTGGACTGGGAGAGAAAGGTTGGGGACCTGAAGAGAGAACTAGACAGACAGAGCAAAGTGTTGGCAGCATTAAAGGCAGACATGGAGAGAGTCTCAGCAGAGAATGAGGCCATCAGACAAGTCAATCAGACCCTTAACAAGGTCATTGACGCTCCGAGGGCCTATTTGTGTGCACAACTGGCCTTCTTCCGGGTTAAGGAGATTGAGTGGGAGAAAATAATTTGAGACCTCGAAGCCAAGTATACCAAGCAAGCTCCCACAAGAGTGGTGGATTGGGCAGAGGTCCAGAAGTTTGAGATCAGGGAACAGCCTCCAGAGGAAGTCTTCAAGAGGGAGAACGAAGTAGAGGTGGCGGACCAGCAGGAGGATGAGGAGATCCCTCTGATCGACAAGGAGATGTTGGAGCAGCCAGGAGTACTTGTGGGAAAGGGTGCACAGGTCGGAGAGTTTGAGTGGAGGTTACCTGTTGGCCTGACACTGGGACACGAGTCGGCAGTACCACAGGAGGGACTACCAGTTGAGGCAATAAGAGCTGGGGAGGTTCCACCTACTATTCGGAAAGAGACTGCGGGATAGTAAGAGGGTCAGGAAAGTGTGGGCCAGACCATGGTTGGGACTGAGCAGAGAGTGGACCAGAGGGAATGTGAGGAGTCAACCATGCTTCAGGAGGTGCCAGTTGCTACAGATTTGCGGGATGTACTGGGATCTTGGGCCACTAGGTCAGGGCCAGAGGGGCGTGTTGGGGAGCCGGGGATGCCAGCAGATGACAGAGCAGCCTGCCCCACTTCCTCAGGGGTCCCATAGCAGGAGGTTACGAGCAAGATCTCAACAACCCCGTCATCTGTACCCTCGCTGGAAGGAGAGAAGATGGCTCAGAAGAAGCTTGGCAAATGCTTCTATTGCAAGAGGGAAAAACATCGATCTGATGACTGCCCCAAGAGCCTCAAGGACGAGGCAAATGGATTGTGTACCAGGGAGTCATCAGGGGTATGGAGAGATAGAAATGAAAACCTAGTCCCTAAGACTCGTGATGGGGTAAGGGTGCAGTTGTATAGGCAGCTGCAGGAGGTCATGAGTGATCAGGAATAGGAATTTCTAATAAGGTCCGGAAAGGTCTAAAGTCTAACATACGCGGGATTTCTCTGACTCTCAGACTGATGGCTACTTGTATATAGAGAGATACGTGGAGGATTGGATCAGACCGATGTACATCATTATACTGAGCCAGTAGTGAGATGTTACGTCGTGTTATAGACTTAAAAACCTCTTTCTGTACATAAGATAACGTTGAGTATGACGTTGACGATTTCTCATTTTTTTTTAATGTGATGTAGAGTGTTAACGTCCTTATAGAATAACGTTCATGAGTGTGGAGTGACCGTCGAGTTCCGATACTTGGACGCTTGACTACCTTGATTCCTTATGGGATACCTGAACTCCTTGTATAATATTTTAAGTTTTATAAAGGACAGGAGCCTTTGCACAGTCCGGGGCCCCATGTCCTGAGTGTATACGTGAGTCTCAACCTTTGTCCCTGTGTTGTATTTGGTGTGTCGCACTCACTCTCGGTTTGTGGGCTTGCCCATATGGATTATGGTGTGATGAGATGAGTATTGTGAAATGAATTCATATGCACTTTCTTCTACTGTACTAACATATCCCTGCCCCATGACAAGTGAAACCGGAAGAATAATGTAAGGAAGTGTTCTCAAATTATGGAGACAATGATGACATGATATATTTTGCCCAGATAATGATGAATGGAAAGGCCACAATGAAAAGTTGTGTGTTTTTGTGCATGATTGAAAAAGAAAGAGGGAAGTCTAATGGCCAATTGGACTTTCTTAACAGTATGACATTTTGGGAGAGCGCTCAAAAGAGTCGCTATAAGTGATGATAGTGTTTGAATGTATATAAAAGTCTGACGAGGAAAGATCAGATATTTTGAGAAAATCATAGTTTGAAATTTCTGGCAATTATGTTGGAACTTGGAGAATATTGTGAGTATCCCTAAAAAGACGGGTGACCTCACCTGCTTTTGATCAGAGTAAGAGATGCACGACCCCGTGGAATTATCGAGGATTTTTTTATGGAATATTGAGAAGGGCACTATCCCTCCACGTAGTCCCGTGGGCAGCGGTATGTGATCCTTTGATTGTTGTTGTGAAAGAAAGTGTCAGACCACATGGGTTAGTCTAAGGGACGTATTGTGAGGCCGAGCTAAGGGGCTAGACTTAGCATCGCTGAAACTGTAGAACCTAACTCCCAGCGAGGGCCGCTGACTGGCGCAACCTGGCAGCGGGACTATGGCTTACTAAAGGTTAAGTCCTGAAGGGTCGGCCACTCGGAGGGGTTTAACTGGAAGGAAGGTCTTTGGGGTCGATTAAGTCAAGAGTCAGTACCCTTCCGGGTGCCAAGATAGGAAGAGTTGTTTATCGTTGCGTAACCAACAAGGGCACCATCGCTACATAACAACGCGGTGGGTCGTGGATTCGGCGTGATCGACCGGTCCATGGTGGGCCAAGATGGAGACCTGGAGCCGCCTGTGTTAGACTTCAGGCTGGACGTTCGTTTGAGTTGAGATGGTAGATACTACCATGTGGGCGGCTGAAAGCAGCCTGTGTTTTGAGAGGTCTCGGTTAGGGGCCGCGTCCTAAGTTATGACCCCGTTCGCAGGACGATGACTAAATAGGACACCCAACAATGACCTGGCAGAGGTCTACGACGAAGGGAGAGGACTATCAACCTACTACCTGGGAGCGGGAAGTACACTGAAGTACGGAACAAAGTATCCCCTAGCTCCGAGGTCAGGACATGGGAGACCCAGGTTAAAACCCTGGCAGTGGAACGTCGTGACGGGAGCAGGTTGATGAGACAACCTCAAACGGAGTCAAGCCGGTGAACCGGATTTGTCCCTTCCTTGTCTGCAAGATGTGTTTGTGGTTATAGCTTGATTGACCGACGCGACGGGGACGTCGCTTAATAAGGTCCGGAAAACTGTCGGCCCGAATACCCTTACAAGGGTATTTGGGCACGTTTGTTGCAGCTGGCAGGAAGTACGCGCCTGACAATATCTGAGGGCGCGTCCCATTTGTATTGATTAGAGAGTGTGTGGGCGTGCACTTCGTGGGCACGCGTTAGCCTGACCAAGTCTGGGTCGAGGAGGACCATGAGACGCCGATAGGACAGGTCAGAGCTAAGCTAGATTTTTTGAGGYGGTCGCAGACTCACACKCGCGGTCGGAATGTCGGACGRCATAAAGATTGACCMGATAAGGCRGTGCCGGAGAGGAAAGCGTTGTCTSACTYATGGGGGACYGGCGGTCCTGGGTCGCACCACGTGAAATGTCGCAGGCGCTAGGTTGATCATGTGCCGCCGGCAGCARAAGCCATGGYGGGCTTTAGCYAGGACGGCGTGGGCTGGGGCGGAGTGAGTAGAAGTCAGGGCGTTTTTTGGCCCAAAGGTGGTAGGACGGGCAGTTTCTCGACGAATATTAAGGAGTGGGAGAGCCCGGCCATAGCCGAAACGTGATGCGGCAACACGCGCAACAAGCCTAGCGAGACCGTGCCCTCCAAAGTAAGACTTGGGTGCCTGCGGGTCCTTTGACGCAAGCGGTAAGTAAGAGGAACGGCCTGAGATACTGTTTGCAGGCCTGGACAGGCTGCCCTTACTCTTTATGAGGAGGGCTTAGCCTACTACTACTGGGTTGGGGCTTAGCCCTATAGGTTATGTCATTGAGCTATCACCAGGCGGCTCCCGGGATCGAGGCTAGAGCGGAGCAGCGGGAGCGGCGGAGGAGCACCATGGAGGAAGCTGAGGGGTCGACCCAGAGAGTGAGGTTGACGAGGAGGAGATTGATGTTACACACAAAGAGATTGACGTTACAGACGCCCATTTTTCCAGGATAGGAGTAGCAGTCTGGGCGTAGGAGGTAGAGGAGCGCATTAGGGCGACGGTTGAGTGAGCTTAGCTACTGATCCTACTCGACCATACTGGACCTGAGTGCGAGAGTTGTCTGAAGGGTTAGCAACGTCGAGAGATGGGGTGCATCGGAGGGAGTAGAGTGATGCYGACCGAGAGTAGGAGAAGAGATGAGGAGTGATTTAGTGGCTTGGTTAGCTTATGTTCTCTCACGAGAGTCCGAATCGTATAGTGTGAAGAAGCTTGTGGGACCTAGAGAGACGACGGTTGGATACGACATACCACTTTCTGTGGCGTTAGAAGAGGCAGAGCGTGTACCGATACGATACTTGGGAATGTGGCTCACAGAGGGGCTCTTCCTTTGGACAGTGATACTACGAGACGAACGACCCGAGAGGACTCATGATCTAGAAGGGGTCGGACATTTAGTAGTTGATAGAGCACACGATTTAGAGATAGGACTGACGCTCGCAGGGGCGAGCAGGAGTTGGAGGAGAAGCGAGTCGTTGGCTAGAGTGATGGTTAATCAGCAACTGGCGAGACTCTCAGGAGGGAGGACGAGTTGGAGCTGCTTGGTATATGGTCCACCACATCCGACCCTCTACCCGAGAATGGATTGGCGATTAGGACTTCCTACCTTCGTGATAGGGCAGACCTATGGGAGCGTGGATCGTTTGAGTAGAGCAGTGGACCACACACTTTACGCGCTCTGGGAGGGCTTAGCGCCCCGCTTCAAGGAAGTATACTACGCCATTTGTGTGAGGTGGGGGCCACCCAGTAGAGAGACGCTTGACGACATCATAGACGTTACTAGCTGGGTGGACTGTCTGAGGCCAATCGATCTGATTAGGTACTGCAGGAGATGGGCAGAGATCGATTACGCGAGGCTAGAGGATGTGAGATTTCTCTTCGAGGCCGCAGCTTAGGGAATGCCGGGAAGGACGGCCATGGTGATGCGTGTAGGAGAGCAACTGGTAAGCGCAGGATACGCTGTGACAGTACTTCTCCGAGCGTACGTAGACGAGGACTTGACAGCGAGGGAGTGCAGACAACGAGCCAGGGATTTGATCCACGAGCGTAGAGCTGATGTACTGGCGCGAGTGACCTTCCAGACCTCGATTTCCGATGATGTGATGATATGATCTCATGGTTATATGCGCGCAGAGCACTACCACGATGAGACGGTAGCGGAGGCTAGAGCGAGGGTGAGAGGATGAGCTGGAAAAAGATTTGGACTGAGTATGGATCAGGAGAGTGAGGCAGTCGGAAGAGTGAGAAAGCGCGTTAAAGAACCACTCTTGAACCAGGTAAAGAAGTTGGGGGACAAGTTAAGGGAGATCTGGTCGTGTCAGGATGAGGGCAAGTTGCGTAGGGCTGAACTCGTGACGAGAGAGTTAGAGAATCTGTTTAGTGAGGAAAGAGAGATTATCCAGGCGTGGAGATTAGACTTTCTGGAGAGGGTAAAGGCTAGAAGCGTATCACGCGAAGAAACAAGTGAGCGATCTGCAGAGAGCGAGACAACGGAAGACAAAGTAACGCAGGGAAGTAGCGACAGGACATGAGCGGGATTGCACTACACACGACGGATCGGTACTCATTATATGTGGTAGGGAGACTGGACGAACCATTAGTGTTAGTGATCATAGAACTCCAGCTCCATACCAGACTGTGCAAAGTTGAGGAGGCAGAGTGTGTCCGCCGCGCGCTGCGTGAGGCTAGGGGAACAGGACTTTGGATTGGAATAGAAGGAGGACGGAGGATAAAATACGTATTCCAAGTGACACCTTTCGAAGGGCGGTCTCGGATAAGGGCATGGTACGAGACGACTAGAGAGGCTGAGAGGTTGAAGATAAGCGAAGCCAGGAAAGCTGGAGAGTTAGGGAGAGTTGTAACAGATGGTGCAATACTCAGGGTGTTGGCCGCTCACGACCGGTACTGGAAGTAATCGATAAAGACTTTAGAGGCGATAGAGGATGGTGGAGATAAGGAGGACTTTGAGACATTTTATGACATATTGAAACGGTCGGCGATGAGGTTACAAGTGGTTATAGCACTAACTTATCTCAGCTGCTAGACAGATGACCTCGTCCGTCTGGGAGATAAGGGAGTGGAAATAGAAATTGGAAGCTCTTGGAAGGATAGTGGAAGCTAGAAAGGTCGATGGGCGACTTTGGATGGCAGTAGGAGGGCCTTTAGCGGGCTAACCGATTCAGGACAGGGCTAGGAGAACTAGCAAGGAGGACGGAGATAGACGCTCGGAGACTCTTGAGGGGTGTTGATCAGGAGACATTGGCTAGGTTTGGGNGGAGATAGACGCTCGGAGACTCTTGAGGGGTGTTGATCAGGAGACATTGGCTAGGTTTGGGACTGCGATCTGTCTCAAGGATAGAGGTCCTGTCACGGGTGTACTGCAGATCCGGGGAGGCACGGCCTTGTTGGCCGATCCCGAAGGAGAGGTTTACTTAGACACAGGGATTCTTGGGATAGAGGAAGAGCACGAGATCCGCGACCGGTACGGGATACTGGAAGTGGTAATCAAGGCAGTCGAGAGCTAAAATTTGAGGCCAACGCGAGCCGTGACAAGGAAACAGGTCCGGGTTTCCGCAATTGTCACAGGTCCGGGCTGCAGCGACTGTCATAGGGTCGGGCTGTAACAGTTGACTAGAATACCTAACTGCATCTTCTGGCGGTCCAATGGAACCCGACACGATGGGGCCACAACCGACCACGGGCGAAGCGGGAGAGGAGTACAGGACATCGCCTGATCGAGCTCTGAGGGATCTGAAGGAACGAATTAGGCGAGAAACACCGCTGAGACGGGCTGACCAAACCAATGACGAAGGGCCCGACGTAAGGGGCGAACCAGTTGCGACAGAGCCGCAGGAGACTCTAAAGACGGGTACCTCGAGCGGACGACGAGAAGCAACGAGGCGACGCTCCCCCGAGTACAAGCGGAGGGACACCATAGCGGATAGGCACGGAGACAACTGGAGAGAGAGTTTGAGGGATTCCTATTGGAGGGATAGAGATAGAGACAGGCCGCCGCCCAGGCGAGTCTTCGACCCCCAGACAGGAGAGTTACATCCGCTCCCTTACGAGAGCAAGGATCGCTATATTATTACGCACAAGGCCTCAGAGCCTCCTATCTTCAGGGGCTATGGTATCACAKAATATCTGGAGAAGTGGGAGCTTCACGCCAGCAGGAGTCAGTGGTCGGAGGAAGAGATTATAGAGAACTTCCTATTTAATAGGGACCCAAGTCTCGGTAGGGAAGTAAAAGAAGCTCGACCGAAGGATGGAAAATGGACTACGTACAAGAAGAACCTCGTTGAGCTTTACAAATTGGAGGATAACAAGTATTCCATCAAGGACCTTGAAACAATGACTCAAGATGAAGATGAGAGCGTACGGGCATTTGGGATGCGTTTCCAGAAAATCTCTGACGTGCTGATGAAGAAGGGGAAGATCTCAGAGGTTGAGCGCTGTAGTATCTTCATCGGACACTTGTCCAAAGGTAGGCAAAAGAGTATACTTAGAGATCTTCCGCGCGAAAGGCTTGATTTCTCAGAAGTGCTAAAGCTCGTGATAAAGGCAGAGGCAGACGATTACAAGGACTTGGTGTGGAGAGGGATGACGAGACGTGACTTCTCTCTCTACAAGGAGTATGCCACTGATAGATGTCCTGATTTCAAGGACTATCCCTGGTCGGAGAAGAATGAGGCCGTGGCTGAGGAAGTGAAGGAAAAACGGGACATGGTGAAGGGATTGACGAGAGAGGTTACAGAGATTGTGACCACTACAAGGGCCACGGCCTACCGAGATAAACCTGGAGGGTCCTAATCACTTCGCCGGGACCGTAGGAACAACGATTCCTGGAGGATTGTCGAGGATAGAAATCTTCGGACGTTGACTGATTATCGTACGAGGGGAAGAGAGAGAGACGATGAGCCATGGCGACGTAGGGATGATGAGATAGACCGAGACCGCAGAGATCGCGAGCCGTTTGCGCGAGCAAGGAGGCTGGATGATTACCCGCGAAGCCCTCGCTATGAGGCCGATTGGGGTAGAGGCGACTCCCGTGGCCGATGGGAGACAGATCAGGGCCGACGGGATGGATATAGGAACGTCAGATACGAGAGTTCAGACCGAGATGGATATAAGGACGACAAATACGAGAGATCGGACCGAGATGGATATAGGGACGACAGATACGAGAGGTCGGGTCGAAATGGCTACAAAGGTGGTAGGTATAAAAGAGGAAATCGGGACTGGGAACGACAAGATGGGTCGCGCGGACGGCTTGAGCGCGGGGGAGATGCGAGAGAGCAGCGCGATGAGTCGCGGGGGTGGTACAACCGAGGGGACCGACGCGATGAGTCACGAGGGCGATATGACTCGGGGGACCGCCAGAATGATTCGCGAGRRCGGTATGAGCAAGGAGGGTCTGGAGAAGACCGCCGCAACGATTCGCGCGGTCGGAATGAGAGAGGGGGATATGGCGTCTCATCGGAACCATATCCCAAGTCGCCTGACCCCAAGGCAGCCAGGAGTTCGATCTCTAGAAGCGCAGACGACAGGCCATCTACTCCAGGAACTCATGCGTCTACTATAGAGGAGAAGATCATATCAACAAGGATTGCCCGGACCTCAAACGGGCAATAGATGAGGGACTTGTCATGCTTGACGACCGCAAGTACGTCAAGTGGGCAGATGGTCTGGGAGATGTATCGATGTTCCCTTCGATGAAGAAGAATGTCGAAGCAAGGAGAGTAAAGCCGAGTAAAGAAAAGGAGCCGGTCAGGAGCCAGAGCATCAAGATAACCTTTGAGGGGGATATGGCGACCACACCCATAAGGGTGCCAGCCTCCAAGTTGGCGAGAGGGTCTACATCGAAGAAGACTGACACGGATTACGTGATGACGGAGAAGGACGGGCAGCGGGTCGATGGAGAGAAGGTTATCCTTTCGTCGCGAAAGAGGGGAGTGAAGAAGTTCTTAATGAAGAGTTCGCTGGACGAGATTGACACGGTCGAGCCACTGAGGCGGGCCCTTCGGCAACCCATGCAGTGCTCTATTCTAGAGTACCTGGCGGCATCGAAGCCGGCTCGTGATGAGTTACAGATGATCACGCGGAAGACTCGCATACCTCTATCGGAGGAGGGTCAGGGGGCCCCTAAGGCGGAAGCTTCTACAGTAGTAGTAACGGGGATGACTGCCAGAGCGGATCGCATGGCGAGAGTCCTTCTCGATGAAATAGAAGGTGTGCCTCCAGACAAATTTTATATACTTGGTAGTGGGGCAGTGGAGACAATTATAAACGATGGAGCGGTACTCGATGCTGTGATCGATAACGACAGTGAGGCTGTCATCATAGACGAGGACTTGGCAGTACAGGTTGGACTAGGCCTCGATAGGTCATACCTATTCAAGATAGAGACGACTGATGGGAGAAAGCAACAGATCACTGGGTTTGTCACAAGGCAGCCATAGAGGTCCAAGGGGTACGAGTGACCCTGCCTGTCTTTGCAGTCAAGAACTGCAACTCCGACCTGCTCTTGAGTCGAACGTGGCTGAGCCACGTGCATGCGGTGACGATAGAGCGACCTGATGGGAGCCAAACATTGTCCATTAGGAAGCCAGACGGGACGCGGGTAATGATTGAGACAGTGGAGCCTCGGGACCTGAGGAACAGAGAAGCTCTCGCTGTGGGTGCGAGACCCTGTGATCAGATTAAGTCGTTGCCTATCTCCGGCCGCGCGGTGCGATTTCGCAAGAAGAAATATGGACCACTGCTCACAGAGGAAGAAGGTCGGATCGTGGAGGTGGAAGATTTAGGGAGTCGGTTAATTGTGGATGGCAACTCGTACCCAAAGAAAAAAAAAGAGGAATTTAGCGGTGTGGTATCCGTGTTTTTTTTAAGGGCACGACCCCCTATGGGGGGCTACCCAAGCGACACAAGCGAGTAGCTCAAAAAGTTAAGCCAGCGGCGGTGGGCCGCGAGCGATCTGCACTGGAAGGGATATCGGAAGAATAGATCGTGAAACAAATCAAAAAAAGAAAAAGAAAGGGGCCGCAACGCCTAACGGAAGAGAGGATAGCAGGGATGGACATCGGAGATGGGAATTTGACCCCACAAGAGCGAGAACGTGTGATAGAAATCCTGAAGACATGTGATAAGGCTATAGTTTTTAGTGACGCGGAGCGTGGTAGGGTTGACCGTCGATACGCTAAGCGAACAAGGATTTACACGATACCACATGTTCCTTGGAATGACGCGGGATAGAAATACGCCCAGAAGGAGAAGGGAAAAGTTATCGTTTTCTTGAAAGAAAAGATGGTTTCCCACATTGCGGAGCCGTCTGATAGCGCTTATGCTAATCGATGGTTCTTCCTACGAAAGCCGAATGGCAAGATCCGATGGATCCAGGACCTTCAGAAGGTCAACGCGGTGAGGATACGAGACGTGGGCTCCGTGCCACACGCCAATTTATTCGGTGTGTGATCTGTTCTCAGATTATGATGAGGTACCGCTTGACCCTAGAGACAGACACCTCACGGCTATGCATACGCCATTGGGACTGATACAGATGATGGTTGTCTCTATGGGTTGGACTAATGGGGTAGCCGTTTTTCAGAGAGCCATGGTAGCCGTCCTCAAGGACTTCATCCCTGATAAGGTTGAAGTTTTTCAGGATGATTTTCCTATAAAAGGGCCAGTAAACAAGGATGAGGCAGAGGTTGCACCTTGAGTTAGAAGATTCGTCGAGCAGCACCTAACGAATATTGACGCGGTACTCGAGCAGTTGGACGATGCGAATCTAATAGTCAGCGGAACAAAGAGTCGATGGGCCGTCTCGGCTATTAAGATCTTGGGCTTTATCTGTGACTCGAGGGGACGCCGAGCAAATCCGGCGAAGTTAGAAAAACTCCTGAACTGGCCGTCACCATTACATAGTCCAACCGAGGTCCGACAGTTTCTGGGAGTGGTCGGTTACTGGCGAATATTCATACGAGGGTATGCAGAGAAGGCTGAGCCATTGAGACTACTCCTTCGAAAAACTGAGAAATTTTACTAGGATTCCTCGCAGGAACTCGCTATGCAAGAGCTTAAAGATGAACTTAAGGAGGGAGGACGCGTACTGGGCGTGCCGTACTTTGATGATGAGGCTGGGAGACCCTTCATAGTAGCCACGGATGCTGGGCCTTGTTCGGTANCTGGGCGTGCCGTACTTTGATGATGAGGCTGGGAGACCCTTCATAGTAGCCACGGATGCTGGGCCTTGTTCGGTAGGAGGGTTGCTGTCTCAGAACGACGCTGAAGGGAAGGAAAGACCGTTAAGATTTGAGAGTAGGACACTTAATATGGCAGAGCGAAACTACAGTCAATTCAAGAAGGAAGTATTAGCTGTTCTGCGGTGTCTAGACACGTTCAGACATTATATCTATGGACGACGGTTCATCTTGAGAGTGGATCCCACCGCGGTCAGCTCTGTCCTCCAGAAGGACTTTAGCCTGACAGACCCGACCATTGCACGATGGTTAATACGGATTCGACTATATGATTATACAGTAGAGAGGATATCTGACACTAAAAATATCGTAGTGGATGGACTCTCTCGGATCCCTCTTGAGGGCAAGCGCCCGATAGCAGCTGGAGCCCTGACAATGGCAGAGCCGAGACGCGCCGAAAGATTTCTACTTAATCTTTACGAGGGCAAGTACCGAATGATCGGACTACACCTGACGGGAGAGGAGAGTCAAGATTCAGATATCCGGAGACAAGCAGCCCAGTACTGCCTTAGAGCGGGCCACATTTTCCGAAGGCCAGTAGGGTCGGGAATGCCCTTACGAGTAGTCTGTGATCCTGAAGAGAGGCAGACGATAGTAGCGGAGCTTCACGACGGGGTGGTCGAAGGACATAGAGGAGTCAGAGGGACCTACGAAAAGGTACGCAGGCTGTACTGGTGGGAAGGACAGTATAAGGACGACAAGAGGTACTGTATAACATGCGAGGAATGCCAGAAAAGGGCTCTTGTGAAATACAAAGAGTCACTCCATCCATCCTATCCAACCCGACTAGGAGAGAAGGTACACATCGATCTGGTGAAGATGCCGAAAGGGGTAGGCAATATGAACTATGTTGTGAACATACGAGACGACTTCACGGGGTTCGTGGACGGTAGACCTATCAGGAGTAAGACGGCAAGGGAAGTGAAGAACTTCGTCCTAGAGTACTTATCTAGGTATGGTTGTGTCAGCAAGATAGTGATGGACAGAGGAGCGGAATTCCTGGCTGACGAGGTTCAGAACGTATTCAAGAGAGCTGGGGCGAGAGTTTCGATAGCCACTGCCTACCACCCACAGTCGAACTCCTCAGTAGAGAGAGGGCACCAGACCCTGATAGCGTCGCTATCTAAGTGGTGCAAAGGCAAGGAAAGTGATTGACCACGATATTTTCGATACGCAATTTGGGCGGACAACGTCACGGTCCGGGCTAGCACGGGATACCCTCCATACACCTTGTGGTTTGGACAGCATTGTCCGCTTCCCATAGAGTTTCACGTCGACAGTTGGACAACCGTCGAGTGGGCGGAGGAGATGTCCAGAGAGGAACTCATAGCTGCCCGAACAAGACAGATAGCCTACGGTTTGGAAGATAACCTTATGACAGCGGCAGATCGTCTGGCAGTGGAAAGAGACAAAGGTAAAGAGAGATGGGATAAGAATGTGAGAATCATGAAGGAGAGGGTGAGTGTAGGAGATATGGTCCTTCTCTACGATGCAGCGCTGGAAAGAACCTGGACCGGAAAACGCGCAAATAGATGGATGAGACCTTACAGAGTGGTTGAGGCACTCGACTGGGGTGCATATATGATAGCAGAATTGGATGGATCTAAGTGGAAGGACCCAGTGGCGGGCGCTAGGTTAAAGCTGTTTAGACCCAGATTTGCACCCACCTTATCGCTGATGGGCCCCAAAGAAAAGGGGAAGGCTAAGATGGAGGATGGAGATCCCTTGAGACGATTCGAGGCAGGCGAAAGCTCCAAGAAGAGAAAAAGAGTAAAGAAAAGAAAGGTCAAAGGGTTAGCTCTAGGAAGAAAGAAGAAATGGTTATTCGTGCTCAAGAGGGCTAAACGGAGAGTCCGCATTAGACAAATTGGCGGGACGGCACCCTTATCGGGCCAACGACATAAAAAAAAGAGGATCCTACCAAGGCCGAGAACCCGGCGGGGAAGGAAAGTCAAAAAACATCTACTTAGTCCTATAACTCAAAACAGACTGAAACATAAGTCAATTGAACGCCCACGTGGGCGTTCTTTATGGACCATCACCCTGAAGCTCGTCCGCTTCGTCTGAAGTAAGTGAGTAGGGCTCGACGGGGGCGTCGAGAAGAGGTCCGGACTAACTGTTAGGCGGCCACAAGCAGTGCGCCGCCTGAAATCTGGGGTTTTGGGTCTTAGGCTCAAGGACAAGTCCGTGTTTTGACGGTGCTCCGGGTAGACCAGGCAACAAAAATTAGGGGATCTCAGGGCACCTCTTATTTTGGGCGTGCTGAACTTTACGAGCAACCCTCAAAGACGACGAGATGAGTGGCCGCACTAGGCACGACCGGGGCCGAAACGAAGCCTCAAATTTTTGCCCATATTAGTACCACAATTAAAGATGGGGAAAAGGGATCAAGGGCAGAAGCGGAGGAAGGAAAAATATAATATCCCTTAATTTCTTTATTTTTCGCGGCATTTGATTTTTGGGGGAATATCCTTGTTATTTTGTGTTCCCGGCAGAGAAATTAAAAACAATAAAAAAATTAAACATGGAAAAAGAGGAAAGAAACAAAAGAAATTCGGCCATTTATTTAAACTTTCTCCGAATTTAATTTTTGGGAATTTACGGTTGATTTGCTATTTCCGACAATAGAATTAAGGAGAAGGAAGAATGATAAAAAAAACGATGAAAGGGGCGGGAACCCACGACTATTGAGAGATTGACCTTATTTCGCCTTGAATMCCCGCCGTCAGCACTGACCCYGGATTGATCATTTTCCCCGGATTCCAACAGTTTTCACTTCTGCTGATGGTCGAGGAATCCTGCGTCGCTTTCCCTGTTGCCYGAATACTAAYGTTKCCACAGTTGGGGTGTTATGAGAGCGGGAGTCGCATGGACCACATGGGGTGGTGCTACCTTGGGTAGAGAGTATGGGATGTGGCTTGGTACGAGTAATGGGGTTTAAAGAGATTCTACACTGTTATGGAGTGACTGCATCCTACGAAGCCCGGCGTGTTTCTGGTTCGGTATGGGCACGACGACCCTGGGGACGCAGCGGTGATCTATGTTCAAGACCAGAACCCCTACGACAGTTTATTTCAGGTTTGGAGCCAGCCACGGTCCGGAACCGCTGCGCCGCCATATTTCAGGGTCGGCGTCGGTTTGGCACATCCCACGATAGCATTTTCACGCTCGGCAGCACTACGGAGGCTTATTTCAAGTACGGGACCTTGACAACAGTTATTTCCAAATCGGCGCCATCACGGGTACTTATTTCACGTT